GCATCGTATATCCAACAGAATACCTTATACTTCGTTTGCAGTACCCAACACAGCAGCAGTAAGGGACACACCGCGGAATTTCCGTAAATCTGCTGTACCCGCGTTCGTAATTTCCCGGGTAAAACCCGCAAATATACGGCATCAATCGCGAGTCCCCCTTACTGCTGCTCGTGCGCATTCGAGCTTCTCATAAAGTGAAAGGAAGCCCAGCATATAGCCTGCGTAACGGCCCAAAGGGAAGGGGATTGGGGAGAGGGGGACTGGGGAAAGGAAGGGGAACTGGGGAGAGGAAGGAAGGAGAGTTGTTTGTTTTATAGAAATTCGAATACAGTAACTGAGATAAAGAGCATATATGGAATATACACGGCCCTACAAGCTTCTAACTTTGGAGCCTACAGCATATAAAAAAGGAGATTCATATATTTTTTTATATTTTATTTCAATTTTCCCATTATTTATCTAAATAGCAGATATTAGGGTTACACTCTATTGCCTTCAGACAATAAATTGTTTCAAGTCTAGGCATTTGGGTCGATACAATAAATACATAGAAAATGTCCCAAATGTAACAATTGTTTGAAGGCAATATAATGTAACTCTGATATCTGCTATTTCAAGTACTTAATGTTCGTCTTTTCCCAGCAGGCAAGCGCACATTGTGTTTTCCAAGATCTGATTCCACCAATATCCATTGGTCTCACGCCACGACTGTAGCAGTTTCACCATCGTGTAATTCATTCTCCCAATACTAGCCCATCTTAGTATGCATTTATCATCCATTTACGATGCTTTAAATCCAAAAATGATGATTGGGCTTTCTGTTCAAGACTAGCCAAGTCTCTCACTGATGGTGCCAATTCGGATGCGTGGGTTTCAAAAGCCATGCCTGGAAGAGAGTAAAGCAGACCAAAGGAAATAATGACGATATTTTCAATGCTAGTACTTTCATATTGTGTTTGTCAATACAGTATCTTGGTCTGACAAAAGTATACTCTTTTTTGTATACTTGAAGAAAACAAACATTTATTTTCCTACTCAAACTCTTCAAAATTCTAAGAAAACGTGCTGAAATGCACGCATGCGCAAACGCTTTTCTCTAGTGTCATTGGAATCTGTTAATGCGAGTTTAGAATATGATGTCATCAACTTTCTAATTAGCATAAAATTAAAACTTGAGTATCTCTTGAACCAAAAATGCTAACCAGAAATGGCACACTCTCTACTTTCCCATGCCCATAATCCCCCCCCCCCCCCCCCCCC